GCCAGGAGCCAGGAGCTTCCTCCGGGTCTCCCATGTGGATGCAGGGGCTCAAAGACTTGGGTCATCTTCCATTGCTATCCCAGGCAATAGCAGAGAGCTGGATCAGAAGAGGAGCAGCCGGGACTAGAACCAGCATCCATATGGGATGCCGGCACTTCAGGCCAGGGCTTTAACCCACTGCGCCACAGCGCCAGCCCCTCTCTACCTCTTTCAAGTAAATAAATAAATTTTTTTTAAAATTATATTTTGTGGGGTAAGCATTTGGCACAGTAGTTGAAATACTGTTTGGAGAGCCGGCACTGTGATGTAGCGGGTTAAAGCTCTGGCCTGCAATGCTGGCATCCTATATGGACGCATGTTTGAGTCTCGGTTGCTCCACTTCCCATCCAGCTCTCTGCTATGGCCTGGGAAAGCAGTGGAAGATAGCCCAAGTGCTTGGGCCCCTGCAGCCACATGGGAGATCCAGAAGGAACTTCCGGCTCCTGGCTTCAGATGGGCCCAGCTCCGACTATTGTGACCATTTGGGAAGTGAACCAGCGTATGGAAGATCTGTCTCTACCTCTGTCTGTAACTCTGCCTTTAAAATAAATAAAATAAATCTTAAAAAAAAAAAAAAGTTACAGCCAGAGCAAGTCCTTAATAAAGAGAAAAATAAACCTGAGACAGGCTAACTGCTGGAGTGCACACAGGGCGAACCCGTGGCAGAGAGCAAGGACTTAGCTACTGCTGGGTTTATATAGCAGAAGCCAGCTGAGGGCCACGACGGGGAGGCCATGGCTGAGCTGGCTTGTGCGGGCTTTTTTTCTTTATTTTTTTCCTTTTCTTTTGGAGGTCTACAGTCTAGGGGAAGCTGAGCTGGGTGAGGGGGAAGCTGGGGTGAGCTGAGTTTAGGGTATTTGGAAAGGAGAGCAGGACATCTCCGTGGGGCAGGGGGCTGGGGTCCGCTTCTTCAGTCGCGTGGGCTGTGTTTGCGGAAGATGGCAGAGAAGGGCTGTTCCTCCGGGGGCAGAGGTCTCTTCCGTCGCTAAGCTGGGGTACCCTGACTCAGCGGGCTGGGGGAGAGGGGAGGGACGGTGCCTCAGGAATGCAGGGGACGTAGCTGATTGAGCAAGATGACAGGGAAGCACCCGAGGAGCAGGGCCTGGGGTCACCTCGGCAGGGAGCTGAAATCAGCCTAAAACTTTTGTCCTTGCTCCATCAGCTACCATGCTAGTCAGGAGGACCAAGTTCTGGTGTTCTGTTGCACAATAAATTGGAGTTAACAAGAATGTATTGTGTATTTCAAATATCTAGAAGAGGGGCCGGCACTGTGGAGTAGAAGTAAAGCCATTGCCTGCAGTGCTGGCATCCCATATGGGCACTGGTTCAAGTCCCGGCTGCTCCACTTCCAATTCAGCTCTCTGCTACGGCCTGAGAAAATAGTAAAAGATGGCTTAAGTGCCTGGGTCCCTGCATCTGTGTGGGAGACCTAGAAAAAGCTCCAAGCTCCTAGCTTTGGATTTATTTAAATAAATAAATCTCTTTTAAAAATATTTAGAAGAGGGGCCGGCGCTGTGGCACAGCAGGTTGATGCCCTGGCCTGAAGCTCCGGCATCCCATATGAGTGCCGGTTCTAGTCCTGGCTGCTCCTCTTCCAATCCAGCTCTCTGCTATGGCCTGGGAAAGCAGTAGAAGATGGCCCAAGTCCTTGGGCCCCTGCACCTGCATGGGAAATCCAGAAGAAGCTCCTGGCTCCTGGCTTCGGATTAGCACAGCTCCAGCCATTGCGGCCGTCTGGGGAGTAAACCATTGGACAGAAGACCTCTCTCTCTCTCTGCCTCTCCTCTCTCTGTGTAACTCTGACTTTCAAATAAATAAATAAATCTTTAAAAATTTTTAGAAGAGAGGATTTTTAATGTTCTCATCACAAATGATAAATGTTCAAGGTGATAGATATGCTAATGACTATAATTTCATCATTACAAAATGTGTACATTTATCAAGTATCATGTAGTACCCACAAATATATTTAATTGTGTCTATTTTTTTTGACAGGCAGAGTTAGACAGTGAGAGAGAGGGAGAGACAGAGAGAAAGGTCTTCCTTCCATTGGCTCATCCCCAAATGACTGCATGACCCCCGTCATACCCGATTCCCCGCTTCTGCACTTAGGTCCCAGAGAGAAGGTGGGCCTCCGGGCACATGCCCTGGTCTCCTGGGAGCAGCAGTTAGGGGTCAAGCAGTACCCTGAAGTGGCCACACCCAGCTGACTTGAGGGGGTCCCACATGCATCAAGCCTCCCAGAGATCCTGAGCAAGGAGGGCCTCTTCCTGAGGCCAGAGAAGCCCGACTCTGGAATGGGGCAAGAGGGAAGCACAGTCGTGCAGCTGTTTCCAACTACTCTTTGAGAGTATCCACAACCAGTGTCTATCACACGAGCTCTGCTGACCGTCTGACCCTCCCCAGGGCTTCCTTCGTCCTGAAATCCTTTACTTCCTTGGCTTAGATAATAAGACTCCTCTAACTTTTCTCCCTCTCTAATTTTTCTCTATTTTCTTTGAGTATTTCTTTTTTGATAACTGGTTGGCCATGCAGCTCTGCCTTGCTTTTTTTTTTTTTAATATATTTCATTTATTGTGATGACTGAGTTTTTTGGTTTTGCACCTAAGGCATGTGCACCCCCCACCTCATCCTAGCCCTGGCCCTGTTTACCACATTCCCTGCTCCCATCTGGAGTTCTTTTTTCTGTTCATTTGTTCTGTTTTTCTCACTGTCTTCCCTTAGGGCATCCCATTGTCTCCCCTGCCTTCCACATAGGTACGTATGGATTCCTGCCAAAGTTATCTCCTGCGTAGGTCTTTCCACTTCCAACTGTGGTCTCACAGAGACTTCTGACTCAGCATGTCAGGAAAGAGTCCTTCATGTTCCCATGACCTATCTCTGCTCTTCTATTTACTACCTCAGTAAATGACGCCATCCTCATCCAGTCTATGGCCCCAAAGAGAAGACTTTATCCAGTCCTTGAACAATTCTGCAGATTTCAAACTCTGATGGAACTCCTGAATCTGTGTTCTCCCTTATTTACAGTCAGTTGTTGGTGTGATCTGTCTCTTATTATTTTTTAAATATTTATTTATTTAAAAGGCAGAGTTACAGAGAGAGGTAGAGCCAGAGAAAGAGGTCTTCCATCTGCTGGTTCACTCCCCAGATGACCACAACAGCCAGAGCTGAGCTGATCTGAAGCCAGGAGCTTCTTCCAGGTCTCCCATGTGAGTGTAGGGGCCCAAGGACTTGGGCCATCTTCTACTCTTTCCCAGGCCATAGCAGAGAGCTGGATCAGAAGTGGAGTAGCCAGGCCTCGAACTGGTACCCATATGGTATGCTGGCACTGCAGGCCAGGGCTTTAACCCACTGCACCACAGAGCTAGCCCCTTATGATTTTTCAGCCTGTTTTTGTTGGTAGTAATCATTTTACATGTAAATCTGATCATCTCTGATCAAAATAGCCAGTTATAAAGTAGATTGCCTGCCACACTATCAAAGCCACTAGATTTGTTATCTTATAGAAGTAATTTTTTTAAAGATTTATTTGAAAGGCAGAGTTACAGAGGCAGAGAGAGAGAGAAAGAGGTCTTCCACCCAATAGTTCACTCCTCAAATGGCCTCAACAGCAGGAGCTGAGTTGATCCGAAGGCAGGAATGGTAATGTTTTAAAATGCCTATCCTTGGGACTGGCGCTGTGGCACAGTGGGTAAAGTTGCTGCCTGCAGTGCCAGTGCCATCAAAGACTTTTAAAAATTAACAAATATTGGCCGGCGCCATGGCTCAATAGGCTAATCCTCTGCCTTGCAGCGCCAGCACACCGGGTTCTGGTCCCGGTCAGGGTGCCGGATTCTGTCCCGGTTGCCCCTCTTCCAGGCCAGCTCTCTGCTGTGGCCAGGGAGTGCAGTGGAGGATGGCCCAGGTGCTTGGGTCCTGCACCCCATGGGAGACCAGGGGAAGCACCTGGCTCCTGCCTTTGGATCAGCGCAGTGCGCCGGCTGCAGCGCACCGGCCGTGGCAGCCATTGGAGGGTGAACCAACGGCAAAGGAAGTCCTTTCTCTCTGTCTCTCTCTCTCACTGTCCACTCTGCCTGTCAAAAAAAAAAAAATTAACAAATATTGGGGCTGGCACTGTGATGTAGCGGGTAAAGCCACCACCTGCAGTGCCAGAATACCATAGAGGTGCCGGTTTGAGTCCCAACTGCTGCACTTCAAATCTGGCTCCCTGCTAATGGCCTTGGAAAAGCAGCAGATGGCCCAAGTGCTTAGGCCCCTGCACCCATGTGGGAGACCTGGATGAAGCTCCTGGCTCCTGGCTTCTGCCTGTCCCAATGCCAACCACTGGGGTCGCCTGTGGAGTAAACTAGTGGATGGAAGATCTCTTTCAGTCTCTGCCTTTCTTTCTGTAACTCTGCCTTTCAAATAAATAAATAAATATTTTTTAAAGAATTTGAGACACTTGATCACCCTAGTTTAAATTTGTATGCAATTATACATATGTTTAAGCAAAGGAAATTTAAAAAAAAGAGAGATGGAATTTGTCCTACGAGATATTAACACATAGGGCAGTGTCATAGTAATCAAAACACTAGGATACTGGAGCGAGAAGAGACAAATCAGGCGATGGAACAAAGCAGAGCACAGACACAGGCCTATTATGCAAACTCTCAGTTTAATAAACTCAACCACAAACCACAGCTCCTGAAGAAAAGGTGGGTGCCTGGCCCACTAAATGGATGGAGAAAAATAAGGCCAGATCTCCTTTAAACAAAAAGCTATATCCTAGATGAACTAAAGAACTAAATGTAAAACTATAGAAAGGTTTAAGAGTGTCTTTGAGATCTCAGTATTGGGAGATTTCTTTTAAAAAGTTGAAAACAGGGCTGGCGCTCCACTTGCAGTGCTGGCATCTTGTATGGACTCTGGTTCAAGTCCCAGCTGCTCCTTTTCCAATCCAGCTCTCTGCTAATGGCCTAGGAAAACAACAGAAGATGGTCCAAGTGCTTGGGCCTCTGAACCCACATGACAGACCCAGAAGAAGAAGCTCCTGGCTCCTGGCTTTGGATCAGCCCTGCCCTGGCCATTCCAGCCATCTGGGGAGTGAACCAGTGGATGGAAGACCTCTCTCTGTCTTTCTCTCCCTTAGGCTATAAACTCTACCTCTCAAATAAATAAATTTTTTATAAAAAAAAGTCTAATGTAAGATACAAAAATGGAAAGCATTTAATTCAGGTATCTCATAAAATATAGATAGTTAGGTATATAGCATAGACTATTAGCAAAAATTTGAAAACAACAGACTAATTGCACAAAATTGAATCTTTGATGTTATTTTGGATAATTAAAAATATGCATACTGAAAAATATTATATTAACATACAGGATATACACAAATATCAAATCCATTAGGATGGTCAGCTAGGTAGTGGGGAAAGAGGTTAGGTATGGGAGTAAGGACTGGGGAGGGAGGGAGCTTGGAGATGCCAGCGACACAGAGACTGAGTCGTGTGATTGACTCAACTCTGTGCACCGGAGGTACAACATGGAGAATACAAAGAATGAACTAGAAGTGGTCATCACCATGGAAGGAGAACTACAAAAACAGATAAATACTTAAAGCATGCTAGGTTTGACAGCTAGAAGCCCATGCAGCCCCAGAAAGGACATTTTTGTGTGAGCTCTGCCACTGGGGAGTACAACTAGAGACAGCAGAGTGTTAGGCACCAACACACGGTGCTGCGATTACATGGAGAGTATGAGCCAGCTGCACTACTCAACTCTGGGCTCCTGGAGACTTTGGACTTGATCTTTGGTATATATATATTTAAATGTATTAGTACATAGGGAACAGATTTCATAAATTTCATAGATACAATTCCAAGGATAAAATACCAGCCCCTCTTTGAACTGTTTTGTGCTAACACACTTTCAATTTACTTCATAATCATGGGCTCAATGCTTGTCTAAACAAAGAGCTCTACAAGTAAAAGGTAGAGAGACCACTGTTCTGTAGGGGTAGAGACAAGGGTTATAGAGAAGAATCAAAGCAAAAGATGTCAGTTTAGCTCAATATGCATTGAGGGTTTGGTTTTTGGTTTTTTTCTTTTTTTCTTTTTTTTTTTTTGTACTCTATATTTTAGCTACAACCAATCAGAGAAAACATGATATTTGTGTTTTGGGGTCTGGCTTATTTTAATGGTCTCCAGAAGCATCCATTGTGTTGAAAGCAGAGTTCTATTCCTTTTCTGGCTGAGTAGTATTCCAATCTTTTTCTCCTTAAAACACAGTTGCAGGACAGTGGGGACGCAAACAGTGTCGGATGCAGACTTCCTGTGCCTGAGTGCCGGCTGCACTGCTTCCTCGCTGCTTGCCCGACCAAGTTGTTACATATCTCTGTGTACATAAGAAAACAGAGGAATTTCTCTTGAAAAAATGGTGACATTGGAGCCTCCCTCATGCAGTATTTGTGAGGATAAACGTAGCTGGGAAGTGTAAATGTTTAGGAGAGCTCCTGAGTGTATTAAGCACTCCTAAGTCATCGATATTGTTAAACACGTTGCCAAATACGCTTAGCAAACTGAATGCTGGCTCCTTTCTGCTTATCCTACCGACCCCCGTTCTTTCCTCTTTCACCACGACTATATCCTATGATCCTCACCTCCACAGTAACTCACAGGGGCCCGCGGGCCCGGGGATCAGGACTGGAACGCAGAGCCTTTGTGATGAGGACGATGCCAACCACGACGCCCGCCAGGCCCACCACCAGGCCCAGGGCACAGACCACAGTCTCTGTTGTCTCGGGCATCTGGATCGGCTCCTGGGCCTCTGGGGGAAGAATGCAGGGATGAGGTCAGAGGTGCGGTGAGGGGCTGGGCTGGCCTGGGCCGTGTGCGGGAGCTGAAGGTGACGTTTGACGGCACGTTGCAGAAGCAGAGGACAGGCCCAGCGCGTGGGGAAAGCCGGTATGGAGGGGAAGGGTGCCGGGAGGAGCGGGCTTCGGGGAGAACAGGCAGAGGGGCTCTGTACCCCAGTGCGTGAGGAGCGGCGCGTCCAGGCCCCAGTGCTCCACCCTGCAGTCGTAGACGTCGGCGGCGGAGGGCACGAAGGCCAGGTAGTGGAACTTGCGGAATCTGAATTCGGTGCTGGCCAGAAAGACGGTCTCAGAGACCCCCTCGGTGACCGGCTGCCCGTTACGCAGCCACGTGACATTGAGCACCGGCGGGAAGAACTTGTCGATGTGGCAGATGAGTGTGTTGGGCTGGCCCAGCTCCACTGGCTCCTTGGGAAACACGATCACCTCCGGGGGCTCTGGGGGGCAGACAGCACCTGCTGAGTCCCCAGTCCTGGGGTAGATGACAAAGGCTCCACCTGCTCATCTACCTCAAACCCTGGGTTGCCTGTGGGCTCCCAGATCAGAGCCCTGAGCCCCATTCTGCTGATCCCTCTCACCTGGCATTGCTGGTGTCATGGACGCTCTGCGGGAGGATGGCCCAGCCACGGGCACCTGGGCCTCCTCTAACCTGTGTGTGGCTGGGGGCCCTCCCATGCCTTCCCAGTTGGGCTATAGCAGAATCAAAGAGAAGCAGTACCGTTGGGGGCCTGGGTGTGGTTGGAGTGCTGGATACAGGCATTCAAGTTTGACTTGGCTGCAGCAATATTGGCCAGGCCGCCCTGAGCCTCCACAGAAAACATGCGACCAAACTCCGGCAGGTACCAGATCGCCTGTTTCTTGTCCAGATCCACATGGAACACTTCATCCTCATCGAATTCGAACATACACTCCCCTGATGGTTCGTGCGTCTGTGCAAATATGACAAAAACTGACACATGCTCTGCTGCATAAAGAAAGATGAGGAAAATGTGACAAAGCGTAAGTGATAGAGGCCAGAGAACAAACATTTCTAAAAATAATAAAGCAGAAAGGGAGCAGGTATTTTGCCCAGCAGTAAGATTCCACATCAGATTCCATTGAAACAAAAATCAAAACATAAATTCAAAAAGAAAGTTTGGAACCAATGCCAAAATAACTGCACGATACTTTTGAATTTAAAATGACTAAAATGAAAAATGTTATGAACAACACTATACACACTGCAGCTTCATCCTCATAAGCTAAGACAGAACTGAAAAGGGGGTGTTTTCTTCTCTTAATTTTTCTATTTTTTGTCCTTTTCTGTAATAAAAAAATAATCCCCACTCAGCCCCCAAGGACTCTAAAAACAATTTTATATCTGTGGTCCTAGAAGAATTGAGGTCTTACACGGAGAGAAAAATCCCACTTAATTCACCAATAGCCGTGACTTTAAGTAACTTACTTAATCTTTCTGCATTTCCTCATGCATTTGCAGCACAGGGTGAGCCTGAGGATTGCATGAGCAGCTATGCCAGGTCTTCAGAGTGCCGCCTGGTTCATCGGAGGCTCAGCAGATGTCACCTGCCTCTGTATGAGTCGTGGTGCCGACTTCCACAGGCTGGGGAGCAGCCCGACTTCCTGGCCGGGCTCTCTTCACGTGCCCCTCCCTCCTTTCCTTTCATAGCTGCTCTGCTTACAGATCTTTTTATTTGTTTGTTTGTTTGTTTGAAAGGCAGAATTACAGAGAGAGGTAGCAACGGAGAGATAGAGAGGTCTTCCATCTGCTGGTTCACTCCCCAAATTGGCCGCAACAGCCAGAGCTGAGCCGATCCAAAGCTGGGAGCCAGGAGGTTCCTCCAGGTCCCCTATGTGGGTGCAGGGGCCCAAGGACTTAGGCCATCTTCTACTGCTTTCCCAGGCCATAGCAGAGAGCTGGATCAGGAGTGGAGCAGCCGGGACTCGAACCGGCACCCATATGGGATGCCAACGCTGCAAGAGGCAGATATTACACACTACACATGGTGCCAACCTGGAGGAAGGATTTTGATTGACAGGAAAGAGATTAGACTCTTCAGAAACTGGTGAGTGATGTGGGCAGGAAGGGAGGTGGAAAACTTTCTTAGGCTGGCCATGTAATCATCTAATTGGCAAGTCACTTTCTAAGTTGTTTTTAATTGACAGACATAAAATTACATGTTTTATTGTGTATAACATGCTGTTGTTTTGAAATACATATACATAGTGGAATGCCCAAACAGGGCTAATTACCATGCATTGCATCACATGCTTCTCTTTTTTGTGGTGAAGAACATTTAAGATCCATTCTCCTAGCAATTTTCAAAGCTACAATACACTGTTATCAGCTACAGTCACCATGCTATGCAATTGAACTCTTGAAATTACTCCTCCGCGCTGGTGCTGTGGCACAGGTTAATCCTCCACCTGTGGTGCCAGCATCCCATGTGAGTGCTAGTTCATGTCCTGGATGCTCCTCTTCCAATCCAGCTCTCTGCTATGGCCTGGGAAAGCAGTAAAAGACGGCCCAAGTCCTGGGGCCCCTGCACCCGCACGAAAGACCCAGAAGAAGCTCCTGGCTCCTGGCTTCGGATCAGCCCAGCTCTGGTCCTTGTGGCCATTTGGGGAGTGAACCAGCGGATGGAAGACCTCTCTCTGTGTCTCTCCCTCTCTGTGTCTGTGAGTCTACCTCTCAAATAAATAAATAAAATGTGTTTTTTTGATCACTCCTCCTAACTGAAATTTTATATTCTTTGACCGACATCTCCCCAATCCAAAGCAATCATGTGTATTCCTTTCATTTAAAAGGTGAGGAAGGCAGACAGACTAATCAGGAGAAGATCCTGAGTTCAGTTGAATGCACATTGTCTTTATAGTAAGTAGAAGTGATACACAGACAGTTGTATCTAATGTTGGTCTTAGGACAGAGGTTTGGGCCAGAGAGCTGAAAGTCAGGCATCGGTGGTAGGTGAAGGTTAGAAGAGATTTTCCAGGAAGAGTGCATAAAATAAGAGCAACAGAGGCCGGTGCTGTGGCATAGCGGGTAAAGCTGCCACCTGCAGTGCAGGCATCCCATATTGGCCCCAGTTTGAATCCCGGTTACTCCACTTTCGATCCAGCTCCCTGCTAATGCACCTGGGAAAGCAGTAGAAGATGGCCCATGTTCTTGGGCCCCTGCACTGACGTGGGAGACTCAGAAGAAGCTCCTGGCTCCTGGGTTTGGTCTGGCCCAGCTCTAGCCATTGCGGTCATTTGGGGAGCAAACCAGAGGATGGAAGACCTCTTCCTGTCTCTTTGTAACCCTGCCTTTCAAATAAAATAAATAAATCTCTAAAAAGAAGAAGAACTGCAGAGATCTGAGGGTACAGCTCTGGGGAACATGATAATTAGGAGGCAATTTCAAAAGAGGACCGAGAGAAATAGAAGAAAAACCAGGACAGGGAAATCTAAAGGGAGATCTTTCACAAGTTTCAATAAGATATCAGAAAGAGGTGCTGTGGCGTAGCGGGTAAAGTGGTCGCCTGCAGTCCCGACATCCCATATGGGTGCTGATTGGAGCCCTGGCTGCTCCTATTCCAATCCAGCTCTCTGCTGTGGCCTGGGAAAGCAGTAGAAGATGGCCCAAGTCCCTGGGCCCCTGCACCTGCATGGGAGACCAGGAAGAAGCTCCTGGCTCCTGGCTTCGGATCGGCACAGCTCCATCCATTGTGGCCATTTGGGGAGTGAACCATCGGATGGAAGACCTCTCTCTCTCAATCTCTTTCTCTCTCTCTCTGCCTGTCTGTAATTCTGCCTTTCAAATAAATAAATAAATTTTTTTAAAAAAAGAAAAGAAGTCAGAAAGAAGTGGATTAGAGTGTAAATATTATCATGAACTCCAGTCAGAGACACTGAAAAGTGCCCCCTGGGTTTGATCTTACATCAGTGTCATTACTGGTTAATACAAGAATATTCTCAGGAGTCCATTGGAGTTAAAAGTCAGAAGCTGGTGCCAGCACTGTGGCACAGCGGGTTAATGCCTGGCCTGAGGCACCAACATCCCACATGGGTACTAGTTGGAGTCCCAGCTGTTCCACTTCCAATCCAGCTCTCTGCTATGGCCTGGGAAAGCAGTGGAGGATGGCCCAAGTCCTTGGGCCCCTGCACCCATGTGGGAGACCTGGAGGAAGCTCCTGGCTCCTGGCTTCGGATCAGCGCAGCTCCGGCCATTGCGGCCAGTTGGGGAGTGAACCATCGGATGGAGGACTTCTCTCTCTCTCTGCCTCTCTTCTCTCTGTGTAACTCTGACTTTCAAATAAATAAATAAATCTTTAAAAAAAAAAAAAAAAGTCAGAAGCTTAGGTATGGGAGCAAATACCTAGAGACAGTGTCCTAGGGTAGAGTGCTGATTGAAAGATAAGTTGGTTTGTATATGTGGGTTCTCATTTGTGTTTTTAAAGATTCATTCATTTATTTAAAAGACAGAATAATAGAGAGAAAGGGAGTGGGAGAGGGAGAGGGAGAGGGAGAGAGAGAGAGAGAGATCTTTCATCCACCGATTCACTTTCTACATGATTACAGCAGGCAAGTCTGGGCCAGGCCCTAGCCAGGAACCAGGGACTCCATCTCGGTCTACCGTCTGGGAGGCAGGGGCCCGGGGACTTGGGCCATCTTCTGCTACCTGCCCAGGTGCTTTAGCAGGAAGCTAGATCAGAAATAGAGTAGCCAGGTTTCCAATTGACACTCTGATATGGGATGCCAGTGTTGCAAGCAGTAGCTTAACCAGTTACACCATAAACGCCAGCCCCACATTCATATTTTTAAGATAAAGAACATATTTGTATGTTAAGGGAGAAGGAACCAATGGGGAGAGAAACACTAACATGGTATTATTATAACCCAACATTGGAAATAACGCAAGTAACCATCAACAGGGTGGTAGTATTCTATTCCCTCTCTCTGCCCCTGTCTTAAGTCACATTCTGGGGCTGGGCTCTACCTTTAGCCCTTGAGATCATTACATTTGGGTGAGAAGATAAGCATGGGCTTGGTGCTCACTGGGGGCAGCAGCAGGGAGGAAGCTCACCCACCCTAACTTACAGCTCTTGCCTGGGTCCTTGTAGTTCCCCACTGTGCAGGCCCCTCATGCAGCCAGAGTCCCCTGGGCCCCTCAGGACCTGAATCACAAGGTTAACAGAAACATGAAACTCTGCTGTCCAGAGAGGAGGCATGTGAGCCATGCACAGAGACCTTGGAAGGTCCCAGGGACCTGGGAGAGGGGACGGAATACAGCAACACTCTCAGCACTTTCTCTACTGGCTCCCGACACACAGCGTCTATCCACATGGCAGCCACACAAAGAAGGGGCTGGGAACCAGGAGAAAGCCGGGGCACCAGGTCTCTGCAGCATTCCAGGACTGGACTCGGCCATTGTGTGCAGAAGTCTGGGGACTGCAGAGTATCATCACCCACTGGATCTGGGCTTAAACCCTGGCTCTTTGACTCGGAGTTTAACTTTGTAAAGTGTACTAACATTTCCAATTTTCTTAAAATGTATTTTCAGTTATTTGAAGGGAGAGAGAGAGACGGATAGAAATCTTATCATCTACTGGTTCATTTCCCAAGTTCCCACAAGAGCCAGGGCTGGGCCAGGCCAAAGCCAGGAGCCAGAAACTCCATCCAGTTCTCCCACTTGGATAGCAGGGACCCAAGAACCTGCTTGAACCTGCTCCCTCCCAGAACATGGATTAGCAGGAATCTGGGTCAGAAGGGAAGCCAGGACTTAAATCCAAGCACTCTGATATGGAATGTGTGAGTCCTAGGTGGCATGTAAAGTGCTAGGCCGAACGCCCACCCCAGAAAGTTCATTAATCTTTTTGAGCCTCAGATTTTCTTCCATTTCTTGATTGAAGGTTTCTGTGAGATATAAATGAGGAAAGAAACCAGACAGCGGCCTGGTATTCTGTGGCTGCCATTAGAGAGGCAAAGGTGGCCGTCCCCAGGGGAATGGAGCAGAGAAGTTAAGGAGGCCAGCACACCAGAGAGTCTGCAAAGTCTCCAGTTCCTACAGGGCCAAGTCGCAGAAGCCCGCCCCACCTCTCACCCCAGCCCTTGCACCCCTCTCCACCAAGCACTCACCTGTGATGGCCTCAGCTCCTTGGAGATTGAGCAGGAAAGCCAGGGTGAGGGCCATAAGGATGCCAGCTTTGTTCTGGAACATTCTCCTCGCAGGGATCTACAGTTGACAACTGGGAGCCCAGGAGCAGCGAGGAGGAGCTGAGGCAGGCTGGGGGCTCTGTCATGGAAATTGGCTGGGTGTGACCAATCACTGCACTGACAGCGCTGACACGCTCTGTTGCAGGGTAAAGAGAATTCTGGAAAGGGCATACAGAGAGCAGTTTTCAGGGAGCAGCCTGGCCAGGGAACTCCAGTTCCTGGTTCATTTCAGAGTTAGAGACACAGAGAAGTGGCATCTTCCACGCGGAGGTCTCACGCAGTTGTGTGACAGGAATCTTCCTAAATTCCCCACCCCCACCCCATCCCAGACATTCGCATTATCTTTGATGTTTTTGTCCACCACCTTTTTCTAAGTGATTTTTTTAAATTGCTGATCAAATTTACAAAAATATTCTGCTGGTATTTTAGAACAAATGCACTCATAATATATATAATTCAGGCCCATTTACCTTAGATCTTCTTTTTTATTTTTAAATTTATTTAATTATTTGAAAGGCAGAGAGAGAGAGAGGCAGAGAGAGAGAGAGAGAGGTCTTCCATCGGTGGTTCACTCCCTAGGTGGCCGCAACGGCCGCAGCTGTGCTGATCCGAAGCCAGGAGCCAGGAGCTTCTTCCAGGTCTCCTATGTGGGTGCAGGGGCCCAAGGACTTGAGCCATCTTCTACTGCTTTCTCAGTCCATAAAAGAGAGCTGGATTGGAAGTGGAGCAGCCTGGACTCGAACTGGCACCCATACGGGATACCGGCACTGCAGGCAGTGGCTTTACCTGCTACGCCACAGTGCCGGCCCAAATCTTTTTTTTTTTTTAATTGTTATAGAAGCTTTATAGCTTAAATTTAGAGGTTTTAATAAGCTTGAACAAAGTTGGTCTTTTTTTTTTTTTTTTTTTTGACAGGCAGAGTGGACAGTGAGAGAGAGAGAGACAGAGAGAAAGGTCTTCCTTTGCCGTTGGTTCACCCTCCAATGGCCGCCGCGGCCGGCACGCTGCGGCCGGCGCACCGCGCTGATCCGATGGCAGGAGCCAGGAGCCAGGTGCTTTTCCTGGTCTCCCATGGGGTGCAGGGCCCAAGCACCTGGGCCATCCTCCACTGCACTCCCTGGCCACAGCAGAGAGCTGGCCTGGAAGAGGGGCAACCGGGACAGAATCCGGCGCCCCGACCAGGACTAGAACCCGGTGTGCCGGCACCGCTAGGCGGAGGATTAGCCTAGTGAGCCGCGGCGCCGGCTAAAGTTGGTCTTTAAATACTTCTCTACTCCTGTTTATCTTTCTTAGGGAAATTTGTAGGTAAATCTAATTATCCATATTTATTATTATTTGAGTTTTCCTGAATATTTTCTGAAGGATTTATTTATTTATGTGAGAGGCAGAGTGACAGAGAGAAAAAGAGATCTTCCATCTGCTGGTTCACTCCCAAATAACTGCAACAGCCGGGGCTGGGCCAGGCCAAAGCCAGGAGCCTAGACTTCATCTGGGTCTCCATATGGTGGCAAGGGTCCAAGCACCTGGGCTATCCTCTACCACTTTCCCAGGCCATAACCAAGTGCTGGATCTGAAGTGGAGCAGCCGGGACTCGAACCAGTGCCCACATGTGATGCTGGCACAGCAGACAGCAGCTTAACCTATTATACCACAGCACTGGCCTTCATTCTTTTTTTTTTTAACCTTTTATTTAATTAATATAAATTTAATGAGTACATCTTTAGGAATTTAGTGATTTTCCTACCATACCCGCCTTCCTCCCAACTCCCTCCCCACCTCCTCCTCCCTCTCCTATTCCCAGTCCCTTCTCCATTAAGATTTGTTTTCAACTAACTTTATACACAGACCAACTCAATACTAAGTAACTATCTGCACACCTGCACACACAAAGTATAAAAACTGTTTGAGAGCAAGTTTTACAGTTAAATCTCATAGTACAACTCATTTAAAACAGGTCCTGCAGTGGAAGTTAGTGCACAGTGACTCCTGCTGTTAATTTAACAATTAACACTCTTACGTATGATGTCAGTGATCACCCAAGGCTCTTGACATGAGCTGCCAAGGCTATGGGAGCCTCTTGTGTCCATGGTCTCTGTCAGTATTTAGACAAGGCCATAAGCAAAGGGGAAATTCTCTCCTCCCTTCAGAGAAAAGTACATCCTTCTTTGGCCCTCATTCTTAATAGACTTCATTCTTAAGCCGGTGCCGCGGCTCACTAGACTAATCCTCCGCCTAGCGGCGCCGGCACATCGGGTTCTAGTCCCGGTCGGGGCGCCGGATTCTGTCCCGGTTGCCCCTCTTCCAGGCCAGCTCTCTGCTGTGGCCAGGGAGTGCAGTGGAGGACGGCCCAAGTACTTGGGCCCTGCACCCCATGGGAGACCAGGAGAAGTACCTGGCTCCTGCCATCAGATCAGCGTGGTGCGCCGGCCGCAGCGCGCTGGCCGCGGCGGCCATTGGAGGGTGAACCGACGGCAAAGGAAGACCTTTCTCTCTGTCTCTCTCTCTCACTGTCCACTCTGCCTGTCAAAAAAAAAAAATAGACTTCATTCTTAATAGACTCCTTATGCTATGTAATTTTTGTCTCTTGCATTTTAGATGCTAGCATTTTGTTTATGTTTTAATATCTTTTTAAGGAAATAATGCCTGTTTGACATTTTCTTGATTGGAATCTGTTGTCCAACAGGACCACATTTACAAGCTTGTAAAATAGACAATAATGTGATTTGAAAGTTTGGAAGAGATATTCACTATAAATACACCAGAATCAGATGTTTTGAAGGAGGTAAGATCTTTAGTTGAATTTTTCATTTTCTTTTTCATTTACTGATCTATTTTTATTTTTTGTGGACTTTATTTATCAAGGCTATTTCAGAGTTCTTTGTCTCATTTGACCTTAAAAGCAATACTATATAGGGGGCAGCACTGTAGTGTAGCGGGTAAAGCCACCGCCTTCAGGGCCGGCATCCCATATTGACGTTGGTTCTGTGCTGATCCAAAGTCCGGGATGCTCCACTTCTGATCCAGCTCTCTGCCATGGCCTGGGAAAGCAGCAGGAGACGGCCTAAGTGCTTGGGACCCTGCACCTGTGTGGGAGACCTGAAAGAAGCTCCTGGCTCCTGGCTTTGGATAGGTGCTGCTGCAGCCGTTGTGACCAGCTGGGGAGTGAACTAGCAGATGGAAGACCTCTGTCTCTGTCTCTCTCTCTCTCTCTGTCTCTCTCTCTCTGTAACTCTGCCTTTAAAATAAATAAATCTTTTTTTTTTTTTTTTTTTGACAGGCAGAGTTAAACAGTGAGAGAGAGAAAGAAAGGTCTTCCTTTGCCGTTGGTTCACCCGCCAAGTGGCCACTATGGCTGGTGCGTTGCGGCCGACGCGCCGCGCTGATCCAATGGCAGGAGCCAGGAGCCAGGTGCTTCTCCTGGTCTCCCATGCGGGTGCAGGGCCCAAGGACCTGGGCCATCCTCCACTGCACTCCCGGGCCACAGCAGAGAGCTGGCCTGGAAGAGGGGCAACCGGGACAGAATCCAGCGCCCCAGCCGGGACTAGAACTTGGGGTGCCAGCACCGCAGGTGGAGGATTAGCCTAGTGATCAAATAAATAAATCTTAAGAAGAGAGAAAACCTGCTCTACCCCGACCTTGTCCTGTGGGTGTGTGAGGGGCGGCCCGGGTGGATGTATGATAATCCCCGTAGATGGGCCAACTGTATATCTGTAATGGAGAGCGCCTTCGCAGCAAAGCAAACCGCGAGTAGCCCGGTCTTCATGGTTCATCTCTGGGCCCAAGGTCTGCCCAGCGAGTGATGACTCACGTCAAGCTCGGTGCCCATTGGTTCTTTTGTCGGAGTCTGACCAATCCCGGATCGTGGGGAGGGACTTTGGTCCACGGTCTCCAAGGGGCACTCCGCTGAGTCCCTCCTTCCTTGACGGCTGCTTTCCGCACCTTGCCATCCTTTTGCAGCTCCATGAGGCCCTGCAGGTCCCTGAGGACAGCGGCGCTGGCGGTGGTACTGACGGTGCTGCTCCACCCTGTGGCCCTGGGCAGGGCCACTCCAGGTGAGAGCGAGCGTCTACTGTGCAGGGTCTGACGCAGGGAACAGTTCCTAGACGTCTTTCCTTCTAAGGAACCAGACTCTGAGGCAGGCTGTGGGAGCCTCCTGCCATAGCCCAAGTCCTTCTCTCCCCATTAGGGAATTGGGCTCCCCCTCTTATTCCTGTCCAGCAGTGAGCGAGCAGCCTTAGGCTTAGAGCTGCCCAGGGGAAAGCTTGATTGAGACAACCCCTAGCCAGCGAGCCAGCGAGACCTGAGGCTGGAGATGGGGCTCCGAGGGACCACGCTCTGGACGCTGCGTGTTTCTGGCTCCTTTTTTTTTTTTTTTTTTAAGATTTATTTATTCGGGAGGCAGAGTTACAGAGGAGACCCTCTGGGCCCTTGCAGAAGCTGTCTGGGCACCTGGGTCTTTGTGACTTTCTCTTCTTTTTCATACTCCAAGTAAAATCACTAAGGTAAAGCAGAGGTGGGAACACAGTCAGCCCGTAGGCATCAGAAGTGTTTCAGTCATGGAGGTCTGATCCACACAGCACCTCCCTTTAAGATTTCCCAGTAGCCCCTAGGCTGCAATGGTCCCGCCCTCCTGTGAGATTGTTTAGAATTTTGCAATTACTAAGACAAGCCACCCTGAAAAGCAGCAGGGACCAACATGTGTTAAGTAGAGCCAGATGCAATGTGGTAGAGTTCATGGATGTTAACTTACTCTTGTCACAGCAGTTCTTCAACCGATGTTTTTCACATTTTACCTTTCATGAATGGAGACTTACAAGGCTATTTTTTACCCAGAATCACATAGTAATATGTTGTAGTGTGGGGATTTGAGCCCATACCTGTAACACCTTTTTTTATATATATACCATCTTGCCTCCATTATATCTTCTGGCAACTTTTTGTCTGCAGATATAGGGGTACAGTTAGATAATAGAAATAATTTCTAATATTAGGATAACTCTGGTTGACAACAATAACATTTCTTTTTATTTATTTTTCACATGAAAGGCAGAGTTACAGAGAAGCAGAGGGAGAGAGAGAGAGAGAGAAAAAAAAAAAGTCTTCCATCTGCCGGTTCACTCCACAGATGGCCGCAAAGGCCAGAGCTGCCCCAGTCCGAAGCCAGGAACCAGGAGCTTTTTCCGGGT